AAAGTATTTGGGATATCTGATGAGTTAGGCCGGCTCCACACATGGGATCCAACGTTGGCGCCAACCTTGGGTCAACTGTGCTCCCACGTTCGGTGAAGCATCTACACATTGGGTTGAGGCATCAACGGTGACACCAATATTGGCGCGAATCCCTTTGATGTTTACGCAAAAACCGACACTCCACGGAAAACTCCCAACGTTGGCGCCAACATAGTTTTGTCGGTACACACATTGGACGAACGCTGTTGGGGCCAACGTTGGCCCGTATGTGTGGAGCCGGCGTTAGAAGAGTTGAAAAGGAGGGACACAGTTAGGGGAAGAATGTTAGAGGATTAGGAAGGAAGGCAAAGGAGGAATATCCTAATTTTTAGAGGTGTTCGTCATTCTGGTAGAGAGCCTTGTGCTCTAGTAATTTCAGATTTTTGTAAAAACTTTTTAGGTATTGAAAATCAAGTTATGATTAATCGAGCACACCCACTTGGACTTCCAAAGCCAAATGGACCTATAATAGCTTATGTGCCGTGAGATACCGATATTTCTAAGATTCTGGGACAGACCAAGAAATTAAGAGGTACTGAATTTTACATTGACAGAGACTATACCAAAGAAGTCAGGGAGAAAAGATCGAAACTGAGAGCAATTATGAAGAAAATAAAAGAATAGAACAATGCGCTGAAAATGAAACTGGTCTTTGATTCGTTATTGGTAGAATCAGTTAAGTACAGTTGGGACTGGAGGGATGGATTAAAGTGTAGAAAGGATAATGTTATGAATCGTTTGAAGATGGACTGGAACATCGATTTAAATTTCTTGTTTAATTCTCCAAGTAATAACAGTGATCAAGCAAAATGGATGGATCATTCTTCTTCTTTCAGTGCCTATTCGTTCCGAATATTGGCAATCATTCTGGCTATAATTATTTTATTGACTGATGCTTTAAATAGATTCGTTGTTGTTGTGGAGAACCATTTCCTCAGGTTCTTCAACCATGATATTCTCCTTCTCCCAATTCCTCGCTTTCCGAATACTTTACCCTGTAGGATTACCTTCAGTAATCTGTATTTAGTGCTGTTTCTCATTATATGTCCGAGATATTCCAACTTTCTCCTTTTAATGGTATACATCACCTCTCTTTCTTTGCCCACTCTTCGTAATACGGTCTCGTTGGTTATCTCATGGATCATTCAGAGAACATAAATCAGGAAAACTCCAATATCCAGTCGTGGGTATCAGGGAGGGGGTTGGTGAACCAAATCTGATATAGAGTGAAGATGATGATATCGTGGATTTGGAACATGGAATTGCTATTGGTAATGAAAGTTGGAACACAATGAAAATACTTGTGCATAACATAGCAGGTTCAAAACTTAATCAAATAGGATTTGTAAAATATATAAGCAACTTTGAAATATTTATATTATGTGAAACGCATGTAGAACCAGTATTTACTGATAACGTTTTTAATAATAGATATGTTATATACATGATTATAGATATAAAAGTAGGTGATGAAAAAGTAAGAATTGAAGAGACGAGTGGATGAAGGTGCTATGTAACATTTTTCTAAAAACGGTTTTTTTTCTATGGATGAAGGTATTATGTACCTGTTTATCACGTGGCCACATTAGAATTCTAAGATTCGTAACAGAAGTCTAGGTTTTTTAAAGGATGAAGGAGTTATGTTACATTATTTTCCAGTGAATAATGGAAGAAGGTGTTATAGGCACAAAATACCTTCATCCACATTCATGTAATATTTTGTATACCTTCGTCATATGAATGATGGTGTTAAGTGACACACATAACCCCTTCATCCACTCACTGGCCATTTTGTTTTACTTGGTGAGTTGGTATTGCGCGCACGTGTTCTGTGTCATTATTACAGTTTTTTGCAGTAATATCATAATATTAATGCTAGTTAACATTTATAATGAGTTCCAGAGGTAAACAAATGTTAAAACTAGTGCAGGAACAAATAAACTGTGAACAAAATTTGCCAAATGATGAAAATGAATTCACAGCAAGTTCTAACCTCAACATTGAAATTTCAAATGTAACAGGTAAGTGCAATCCTGTTGTTATGAAATAATTAAGTTTTATTATATTTTGGGCAATAGGTATTTAGATCATAATATTTATATAAAAGTGTAAATGAGCTGGTTGAAATACATAACCCAACTATCATCTGTTATAAATATTTACACTTGATTGCTCCGGGGATTCCCCTATCTTTTCAAAAGTAATTTTTAAACAATAATAATTAGGAAGAATTAAAATATAAGTATAAGTAAATAGCTGTTTTTATTTTCAGATTTGGAGGGGACCCAACCATTCTTGTCAGACAGCAGTGGTGATGCTGAATACTTTCCGAGTAATGAACGAAGCAGTTCTTCAGGAACTAGTGTCACGGAGGACGAAGAAAGAGCGGACCACAGTCATGTAAAAAACCTTGTTGGAGGTACATTCATTTCTGGAGACAAAGAAGGAAGCGGGATTATTCAAAAGCCTATAATTAATCCTTCTAACGGGTCTAACGAGGTTGACCAAGAAAATGAAAAACAAAGAAAGCAAAAGATTTTTTCAACGACAGCAAAAGTTTCCAAAAAACGAAAACGAGATCCAAATACGTGGAAGAAACGCAAAGCAGCTTTAGATAGAGCAAAAGGTGAAGAATATTTGTCTTACAAAAACATTCCCGTTCCAAGAAAGGAGCCAGAAAAAGGTATTCTTTGTAGACAAGGCTGTAGATTTTCTTGTAGCACTAAATTTTCAGCAGATGACAGGAAGGCATTTTTGGATGAATTTCATAGACTTGATATTAATGCAAAAAATGCTTTACTATTTAAATCAATCATTAAAAAACCAGTGTTGAGGGAAAGAAAAGATGCTGTTAAACATAAAACTGCGTCATATACGTATAACGTTACAAAAAATGGAATTACCGTAAAGGTGTGCAAAGAAGCGTTATGCGCTCTATACCAAATAGGCAGAAAAAAACTTGATGTTATAAAGAATCGTATAAATAGTGGTGTAGCAGCACCTCCTCCAGATCGCAGAGGTAAGCACTCCAATAGGCCACACAAAATAGGCCAAGATGTTAGGGATTTTGTGATAGAGCACATAAATAAATTTCCTGTAGAAGAGTCGCACTATTCCAGAAATAGAAATCCTCATAAAAAATATCTTTCTCCCCTACTAAATGTGAGCAAAATGTATGAGTTCTATCTTGAGGAATGTAATCTGGCACAACTTCCTGGAAAATTTAGAATTAAAAAATGTTCATATTCCAACATTTTTTCGCGAGAGTTTAATTTATCATTTGGGTATCCGAAAAGTGATACGTGTAGTATCTGTGATGGAGGTGAATCTAACGATGGACATAAAGAAAACTACACAGCATCAACTAAAGCGCTCAAAGTTGACAAGGAAAAAGCAAAAGATTCAGACAACTTGGTCTATATTACAATCGATATGCAACAAACAATGCCACTGCCAAAAATAACAACGTCCAAAGCATTTTACCTTAGGCAAATGTGGTTTTATAATTTTGGGGTGCATATTACTACAAAAGGCCTAGACAAAGCATGTTTTTGTACCTGGACCGAAGATCTTGCAAACAGAGGAAGTGCAGAAATATGCAGTTCTCTACTCAGATATATTGAAGTCGACGAAAGCATCACCAAAAAGGATTATCTGATCATCTGGTCCGATTCATGTGCGGGCCAGAACAAGAACTTCCACATGATTTGCCTTTATCAGTATCTTATTTTGAAGGGATACTTCCGTTGTATTGACCACAAGTTTCCTGAGGTTGGCCATACTTACTTAGATTGTGACAGAGACTTCGGAAGAATAGAGAAGGTTTTACGAAAACACGACACGGTATATGTACCAGATACGTACCGGGAAATAATTTCAAAGGCTAGCCGAAAAAATCAAGTCATCGACATGGCTCAACACTTTAGAAGGATTGCTGATCTACCGCAAAAACTTAATCTTACTAACAGAAAAAAGGACGAACTAAATGAAACAGTCAGATTTAGAGACGGTATTAAATGGATAAGAGTGGAAGAGTATGGTTCCTATTTGTATAAAGAATCATATGACGAAACAGTTCCTTTTAGAAAAGTAAATATTCTTCAAAATAAGAATAGAACAGCAGCGCCAGAGAATATTGAAATCGAAAGAATTCGGGAGAAATATGGAACTATCTCTGAAGAAAAAATCTCCAAGAACAGCTTAAGTTTGTAAAACCAGAATATCGATATTTCTATGAACCAATCTTAGAAAAAAAATAATGTATTACGTTATATTACTGTTATTACCTTATATTAAGCAATAACATCTTGTTAGCTGATTAGATAAGTTTTTCTTTAATACATGATTCTTCCATAAAACAGTAGTTGTTTTAATTTCTTTAGAATTATACAGTGGATGAAGGTGTTATGTACTGTTTTTTTCAAATTTTGGTAAGACACATTTTTTTTGTTGATATTTTTTTCCGTGAATAACATATTCCATATACTAGTAACGACATAGAAAAGTTTTTACCTAATAAAAGTGAATGTGAGAAAAGTTTACAATGAAAAACTTTAACCTTAATTTTCTCAAAATCTAAATTTTGTAACATAGCACCTTCATCCACTCGTGTCTTCAATTATTCCAGTGTATCTGAAGCCAGGAGAGTACTGGGCGGAGTGTTTTGAAAACGTTGAAAGGGTTTTAGTAGAAAATTTAGATCACAATGTTGAAAATAGTTTAGTTGTAGATGATTTTAATGCAAGGTTGGGGGAGGAAGGAATTCTAGGTCATAAGCTTGATGAAGATGGGATATACGGAAGGACAAGCCCGAGTGAAAGGAAAGTTTCTAAAGATAATGAAAATATCAATTGTCATCTAGTGAAATATTTTAGCCTACGTTATTTTTTTAATATTTGAACTAGATTTTAACCGTTGGGAATCAACTTTGGGTAATGGGGACCAAAAAATAAAACCAGAGACATTTTCCAAAAATTTATTGTTTATTCACTATAATTCCTATGCACAATTGGTAAATACAATATGCAGTAAGGACACAAAATTATTAGATAATTCAAAAATAATAAAACCTCGCTAACTAGCAGAACTTCCATCTATTTCCACATTCATTACACAATACAAAAGTAGTCATAGGTTCATCAGATGACCTTGTCTGCAACTGGTTGTAAGTACAATTCCTCTTCTTACATTTTCCGCATTTAAGCATGTCCGTCTTAGTACCTTGCGCGGTCGCCAATTGGGCATCATTGATAGCTTCTTTAGTGAATTTCTCTCTGAGTTTCTTCACCTCATCGTTGGCCATTTCTTCGGCTGTCATTACAGCCAAACGTCCTGCCGTGATTACTCCGATTCGGTAGTTTGTTCTCAGAGTTGGGTTTTTCGGGTCTTTCAGATTGGATATTCTAGAGCGAACTCTGTTTTTGTAACGCATATCTGTGTTCTTAAACTCCAGGAAGATTGCTTCTTCTAGCTCTTCTGCTAACTCTTCAGCTGAGGCACAACCTGAAACAAACGAAGAAAAATTATATTTATTTAGCTTAATAGGGCTTAAAGAAACTACCATAATATTGGGAGCATAGCTTTTTTATCGCAGAGTACAGACAAAATGCATTGATTGATGCAATGGATCGCACACTGTGGAAAAATAATACAGTATACTCCCTCTATAACGAACACGGTTATTACGAGGTTTCGCTTATAACGAGGTACATTAGATGTCCCGTGAAATTTCTATTGAACTATAACCCTCTATAGCGAGGCAAATTTGGTTATAACGAGAGAAAATAAGATCGAAAAACGTGTTTTTTTACGTTTTTGGCCCGGTCGTGGCTATAAATAAATACCCTTTTTAACTGCCGCCCGCAATAAACTTCTGTTTAATCTACCGACCGATATTGTGTTGTCGGAAATTTACAATTTATGATTCACAAGTGTCAGTGTAGGGGTTTGACCATTCGCACCTAATAAACTACGTAAAGAGGCTTAAAAACATGACAAATGAAACAAATTTCACCAGAATTTCATTTCACAGTTGTTTTTGTCGTAGATGTTTATCGTTTGTTTCCTGATTGTGCTTTCGCGTCTTGAAAGTTGTGTTGTAGATTACATAGTCACATAGATTACACACTATGACTCCTAAAAGAAAAGCATTTACTTTAGAAGAAAAAATTAACATCCTTAAAGATGTTGAGAACGGTAAGAAGAAAGCAGAAGTTTGTCGTGAAAGAGAATTTCAAGTTCCACTCTATCTACCATGCTCAAAAATAAACACAAGATTTTCGAAGCACGTTCGTCTTTTTCCGGTAAATCGAAAAAACTACGTGCCGCAACTAATAAAGAACTCGATACTGCAATGGTCAAATGGTTTACCGTAAACAGGGCTGCGAATGTTCCAATAAGTGGACCACTGCTTCAAGAAAAGCAACACAGTTTTCGCAGGCGCTAGGTGGTGATGAGAATTTTAAAGCATCGAGTGGTGGATGAGCCGTTTAAGGCCAGGCACGAAATTACGTGTGGAAAAATTTGCGGTGAAGCGAAGAGTGTTTCCAAAGAAGTCACCGACAACTGGTTGAAGTCATGGCCTACAATAAGACAAAATTACAGTGACGATAATGTTTTCAATGCCGACGAGCTGGGACTTTTTTTTAAACTTACTCCAGATAAGACCCTCAAATTCAAAAATGAACGTTGTATAGGTGGCAAGTTATCAAAAGAAAGGGTAACTGTACTCGCGTGTGCCAACATGTCCGGTTCCGAAAAAAGGAAGTTAGTCGTCATTGGGAAATCTCAAAAACCACGATGTTTCAGAGGTGTGAATCAGCTTCCTGTCACATAAATTTAATAAAAAATCGTGGATGACAGCAGAGATTTTTAGTGGAGAACTTTTGAAGTGGGACAGAGAGTTGGACATCGAAAGATTCTTTTAATTGTTGAAAATTGTACAGCTTATCCGAAGGTTAATGGTTTACAAAACATTCAACTTCATGAATCAGGACACCATAAGGTCCCTTAAAGTTTACTACAAAACTGTTGGTTAAGTGGATCCTGAATAATGTGGAAAACCCCTGTTACTTTATTAGATGCCATAAATTTCATCCACAAACCATGGACACTTGTAGATAAAAAAACCATCAGAAAATGTTTCGGTCATGCGGGGTGGACAGAGACTGAGGTAGAAAACGAAGAAGATGAATATCCTGTAGCAGAGTGGTTGAGGTTACAACAGCAAGGTCAAGAACTAACCCAACTGAACAATGATAACGAGTTTGCTGAATTCATTGCCATTGATGAATTATCGCGGAAGTAATAATTCCGCCAGCGGAGCACATTATCGTCAGTGACGAAAGTGATGAAGATGGAAAAGGCGGTGAATCTACACAAGAAGGTCCTAATAGGCAAGATGTGGAAAGTGCTTTAAACATTGTAAGAAACTTTATCCAAAGACAAAACGCAAATGAAGAAGCATACAACTGTTTCACATCTTTGGAAAATGTGATAGATAGAATACTGGACAATTTAAAGCAGTCAAAAATGACAGACTTCTTCCAATTGCAGAAGCAATAGTTTATGTTATCCTTGAAAATACGCTTTATACATTATGTAGTTGAAAAAAATGTAAGTACAGATTTTTTGTTTTAATGTATATCATTGACAATAAAAGTAAACAACTCTTTTTTGTTTTAATGTATTTCATTGACAATAAAAGTAAACAACTTTTTTTCAAAAACGCCATTCAAACAATATTTAGCATCTTATATTGCTCCGAATGGCTTCACTATAGGAAGTTAATGTTTTAGAAAACTTCATATTCATATGTATGCACAGTATTATTGTTGTCTGATATAACGAGATCAGCTTATACTGAGGTAATTAGCCTGCCATTTCAGTTCTCGTTGTAGAGGGAGTCTACTGTATTGTTCTGAAGCTATCTTCTGATGGCATCTTAAACTAATTACTATTTTAATGGGAATACGCCACAATTGGAGTTTAAAATAAGTTTATTCACACTTCAACTTCCATTTCGAAAATCATTCTCAAAATACAAACATTCATTTTGAGATATTTGATATAATCATTTCTGTCAACATTTGTGTTATACTTGCGACTTTTTTTAGATTCTTTATTTCATTTGTTATTTCTTGTTCTGGGGGTTCTCCAATTAATGTACATTCTTCCATTTCAATGTTACCATTTCTAATTTTGACTGTAATTGGAAAAGTTTTTAAAAAACCTTTGCCAATCTTTCATCATTTGTTCTTGTTCACTTATTGAAATATCCTCATATCAAATGTATAGATTATGTCTATGGTACCTGCTTTCTATTTCTTTTGCTTCTTGATAGCAGGATTTTATTTCCTGTTTTTTTTTTTGGAATTTTTCTTCCATACCTTTTATTTTCATAGTATTTTCAATTTTTTCTGTGTATTTTTCTTAAATCTCAGTATTCTGCCTTCTTCAGTATTGTTTGCTAGGTTTGTAATTTTATTTTTTGGCATTCTCCTTCATACTAGTTGTTTATTTTCGTTTTGCAATTAGTATACAAAGAACGGCTAAATTATGGAATATTATCATTATTTTGAGAACCGTCAAGTTTTGAGGGAAATCTCGAAACAGGTCGATTTTTGTTATAAAATACCTATGTTATAACGTACATGGAGTAGGGATGATGTCACCGGATAATTATTTTAAATTAAATGTTTAAAATGCCATCCATCCGTTTCTTGACAATATGCGAATCTATGGACACATTCATCACATACATTGTGGACTTCTGGAGACTCATTTCATGCCTAATTCTATCTTTCAAGTCCTGTAAGTTTTCAGGTCTATTGACAAACTTTTGATTTTATGTAACCCCACAGGAAAAAGTCTAGAGGTGTTAAATCTGGCGATCTTGCTGGTCACTCTATAAAACCTTGTCTTCCGATCCACCTCCTGGGAAAGCAATGATTTAAAAATTGACATACTTCACGTGCGTAATGCGAAGGGGCTCCATCTTGTTGAAACCAGATATTTTCACTAGGTAAATTTGGATTATTGGCATTTGGATACATGTTAGCAAGAACAGGTATAAGTTGATTTCTCAAAAAAGTTAAATAACATTCTCCTGTTAGAGTTTCTTCAAAAAAAAAATGGCCAATGATTCTGTCATTAATGATCCCTGCCCAAACATTTACTTTTTGAGGATATTGCGTGTGTGACTTTTCTTGACTCCAATATCTGAAATTTTGACGATTCACGGTACCATGGATAAAAAATGTGGCTTCATCGGAAAAAAGGATTTGATTGATGAAATGTGGGTTGCGGATACATAAATCCTGCATAATTTCAGAAAATTGAAGCCGGCGATCGGGATCGTCGTCCTTTGATTCCTTAATACCACAAAATCAAAACATTTACGTCAATAAATATTACAGTAACTTCGCCACTATCACTTGCTTGAATTAACATTTGACAAAAAGTTTCAGTGTTTATGAGATAACTTTTTGTGTCCATTATTATTTTTACTTATTTTTGTTTAAGTATTTACTTCAGAAAGTCATGGCAGGAACCGATGGATGGCATTTCGAACATTTAATTTAAAATAATTGTTATGCATGTTATGCATAATTTGGTTACTTTAAAGTACATTATGAATTAAATCATTAGTTGTAATTTAATTGAATTTAAATTAAAAAATTGTTTTTGTACCCTTAAAAAATTATTTAGTTAAAAATGTAATGTCGTTAAATAGAGAATTAAATTTTCCTTCGAATGAGGTGTCGCATTATACCAATTTCTATTTAAAAAAATTCACGGTTATGTCACTACACCCACACCAGTGACGTCATCCCTACTCCATGTATGTTATAAGATGGGTATTTTATAACAAAATCCAACCTGTTACAGGATTTGCCTCAAAAGTCGACGGTTCTCGAAATAATGATAATATTCCATAATTTAGATGTTCACTGTATATTATACATGCTTTACTTGAGCCTCACTCCATCCCTCCCATGGTTCTTACTTGTTATATTTTGCATATTCTTCCTGTTAATATTCTTCCTCTTGTTATTCTTCCTATTATTTTATTATATATGAAAAGAATAATGAGTCTTGGTTTTCACTACCTCTCTAAAATGGCTTCTTATAACACCTATGTGATGAAAAATTGGGTTACACTAACATATATCTGAGTAAAAAAGAACCAAAGTAAAGAAAAAATTATCTGATAAAGAAAAAATCATGAAAACCTTATTTGTTTTGAATGTTAAACTTAAAAGGATGACTCAAACATTTTAAACAATGCTGTCTTGGGGCTTGGGACTTGAAAGAAGAGCAACAGCTATTATAGCTGTATGAAATCATTCAGGAAGCATCACCACACCTCAAATTCACTCCACAAAACTCCTCACAAGTTCACATATACTAATTTGCAAAGAATAAAGCTATAACTACAAAATAATAAATTTATGTAAGAATGATTTTCAATTTACCTTCAAAATCGTCAGCTTGTGAATCTGTCCTTATAGCAGCCGTCAACATTTCTCTGCACTTCAATCTTACAGAATCTGTGGTATTTGAACTAGCTGGAAACTGTTTGGGAAGCATTCCCTTATCTTTATCCCTATCTTTTTCTTCACGAGTCGGCTTTTCTTCCTTTTCCTTTTTTGGTTTATTTGAACTACTACTAGAAGATTTTTCATTAGAATTAGTACCGGAAATAAATTTCTTCCAATTTTTTATAAGTGTTTTGGACAAACTGATCACTTCATCGTCTTTACTGGACTTTCTTAGAGCATTTACTGTCATTCCTATACGGGTCTTTGTTAGAACTTCCAGGTTGACATCTAAGGTTTGGAGTTCTTTTAAAAGATCCAATGCTTGTTCTTGTCCCTAAAATAAAGATGTTTTGTGTATCATTAATACATATTTGATTTAGACTACTTCATGAATTAAATTCATGATCTTTAAATTGATATTCAATAACCCAAGCACTCAATTATAGAAGTGTAATTAAATGATCAAGTAAAACAGGACTTTTTTCTTCTTGTCTCAAATTCTAATGGGACTATCAACTGGAATACATTTGTCCAATCTAATACCTTGTTGCATTTGACCCATTTTTAACAATAAACTTTATTCCTGATTTTTATTTAATATTAGACTTGATGAAATGGGGACTAAACAAAAGAGCAGTATTCAAGACCTGAGCGTAGCAGAGAGCAATACAATAATTTGAATACAATAGGTGAGAGATCATGACTGTTACGATAAATAAAACCATAATTATGAAGTCCTGTTTCCTTAATTTTTAGAAAATGGCTTCTAAATGTGCACAATCCAATAATACACCCAAATCTCTAATCTCAGTAACTGAATCCAAGAGTACATCATTAAGAACATATCTATTAGTTATTAGATTATTTATATGGCCAAATGAAATAAAAGAACATTTAGTTCGATTTAAGCTTAAACCATTTTCTTTTGACCTTAAACATATATTGTTTACATCATCTTGATTTATCATGTATACAACGAAATAACTTAAGATCATCAGCAAATACCAGAAAGTGTGAGTTTTTGATAGCCTTACCAATATCGTTAATGAACAAGTTAAAAAACAAGGGACCACAATGAGACCCTTGTGGGACACCAGAACAACAATGGAATTCTTTTGAAATACAATTGTTAATATGAACTTGCTGTGTATGTCCCATCAAACAACTTTTAATCCAATAACTGGGGTCACCAAAACTAGACGCATGAAGTTTGTGGACCAAAAGGTTATGATTAACCTGGTCAAAGGCCTTTGAGAAATCAGTGTAAATACTGTCTACCTGAATTTTATTCTCAAATGCATCCAACAGGTATTGTTGGTAATTGACAAGGTTTGTTACTGTTGACTTCCAGTTAGAAAATCCATGTTGTTCATCAATAATTATGTTTCTGCAAGCTCAGGTGAGATTTATCTATACCAATGTATCAAGAAGTTTCGGGATTGCTAATTGAATGGTTATACCTCTATAATTGTGAACACACACAATTGCCAGATTTATATATAGGTGTAAGAAAACTATTTTTCCAATATTGTGGAAGTACAGATGATGACAATGATAAATTAAAAATTTGTTGTAAAAGTTTACAAAGTGAACAAATACAGTTCTTAATAAGTGTTGCAGGTATACCATCAGGCCCTGAAGAATATGTAGTTTTTAAACTCATAATCTCCTCGAAAACATCAGTCAGACTAAATTTCGGAATCTGGAACTCCACACTATAGTCCAATTCAAAATTATGTAAATTATACTCATTATCATTATATGTACTTGAAAAATAAATGGCAAATAGATTGACTATTTCATCACCATTCTGAGCTATTACATCCCCACCTTTATTAGACATTACATTAGGATAAGCACTAGACCCATGTGTAGCACTAATATACCTCCAAAAATAGTGGAGATTACTTGAAAGATTTGCTTGAATATTCTCTAAATAGTTCTTATAACATACTGCTTGTAATGATTTATGTCTCTCCCTTAACACCAAAATTCCTCATATGAGTTGCCTGCTGCTTTAAAATTCGTGTGAACTATTTTTTTCTGTATGACAAGTACAATTAATTCTGGCAAAAATCAAACTGGAAAGTTTAATGATTTAAACCTATGATTTTTTTATCAAGTGTCAGATCTAGTTAGTTAAGTAGTCTAGTTTTAAACACCATAAAGTGGTAGGAAGTATGTAAAATAAAAAATACAGTTTACAGTACAACGAAGCTTAAAGTATTTATAAGTAATTACAATTTAATTTAATGTTTTTTTCTACTCTTATAGTTAAATTAAACATAAATCTCAGAATACATGAAAAAATTTCTTCATCTGAATATGCCTTATCAACTCCCCTTGATGTTAGCAATTGACATGGATGCAAACACTATATTTATGAAAAGTAATATTTTGGAAATGTTTTTTTTTGCAAGTTTCTTCATTTTATCAATTTCTGTTTTGGTATGTCTCAAATGGTTATTTCACATAGTCTGTCTATCCAGCATTTTGTGGCTTATGGTAGAATAGGATTATTAATATAGAATTTTACAATCTTTATTTGCATGGGACACTTCAGATCACTGCAGATTTATGTGGGTTTTCTCAATAGCATTTGGGGTTTTTGCCTTTAATATCAGGTTTTAAGACAACTTTCTCATTGAGATGTAGCCCTAAACATTATATGTATACTGTTTTATCCATTCCCTGGTTAAAATCATTAAGTGGGTACCTAACAAAGTTTATACTTCAGGAAAGACACCTATGTATATATAGAAAACAAGATTAGAGCAGAATTAGCACAGGCAGAGAAGAAATCAAACTATTGTAGCAACTGATGGTCCATTAAAGTGAAAAAGGAAGAACAGTTGGGTATTGCTTAAATAGGAACATAAACAACTAAATAATGTAAAAAGATCCCATACAGCAAGAAAGTTTTTAGGAAATATTGTTGAATCTAGTTGAATAGTCTATTCAACTAGAATGTTGAATATAACCCTGAAGTATGTGACTTTCCAAAGAAAGGAATTACACAACTGTGTAGAAGCCCAGAATTAAGACTTGAAGACTAAAAATATAATTACTCAAGAACAAAAACCCATAAGATATAAATTTATAGCCTAATTTCCCACAAAGAGTTTATTTAATATTCTAAAGAAAATATATTACCAACGAACAAGTTAATGGTATTGACCAAAATATCCTGCTGATTTGTTTTTTCATGACAAGAAAAAGCAAATATTTTGTCTCGTTAGGTTTCAATTTAATTGAATTCTATAAGGCATAGTAATAATTTCCAAAAGATGCCTGTTATAAAAACAATACAAACACAAGGCCAATCACTAATCATCTAATCCGTCTCCATGAAGTAGTGAAGATTTTATTACTATAGTTGTATTCTATAAGCAGATATTTAATATATCGATAACAAATTGATCATAATCTGTTTTGAAAAACTCAAATCACAATTACAATAAATTATGTTATCTTAAAACAATGACAAGCAAATAAAATCCAGTGTACTGGGTTCTAAATCGAAAACATTCATTTTTGATATAAATCTTTGCTGTAGTTGCTTGGTTTTAAAATATACTTCCAAAGCAACTGTTGTAAAGATTGCTAAGATACTTTATGATTCAAAAAGTCCCACTAATTCTACAATAAAAGCCGAATTTAAAGATCTTGTTTAATAAAAACAAATCTGGCATGAGATTAATCAGATGTTACAAATTAGGGGGAGAAAATAACGTGGATGCATTTTTTCATTTACTTTACGCATTTTCAGCAATCTAATTAGCGATTATAAATTCTAAACTGAGAAGTGATTCATCTAGTCGTTCAACCCTCAAAATAATTTATTTTTAAAACAGTACATACAGTTCCATCGTCCGAAGTCATTTTATTTAATTTTTTCTGAATTCTCATAACATCCTCCTCGACGCTCATCTTGTACGCTGTGTTATGTAAAAGAAATTTTTATAATTATTATATTTTTTCTTTTATGTCGAGATGAATACCGAGTATACCGAAAGACGCTTCCGCCTTTTTTTGCCGATACAAACGAACGATACGTGTTAACGTCATTTGTCAACGTTGACACAAAAATTGGTCTCATGATGGTAGATACATTTTTTAAGTCAAATTTAAATATATTAAATTTTGTTTTGTTACGGAGAATATAATATTTGGATTATAATGTTGTTTAACAAATGATGTACTCTATAAAAAAATAATTGCAATTCCGATTTTTTACTAATTTGCATGTACATGTAAGCAAAAGTCACATCTGCATAACATAGAAGAAGAATTTAACCTATTTTATATTTTTAAGGTTACCTTATTTTGTAGTAATTAATATTTATATTATATTGTTTTTAAAAATGACAAAGATTTCTGAACATTCTCATGTTTTAAACTTTGGAAATAAGATTATTTTAGCTCCTATGGTAAGAGTGGGAACTCTGCCTATGCGGTTATTAGCTCTAAAATATGGTGCTGATATTGTTTATACAGAAGAACTGATTGATTGGAAGTTTTTGAAGTCAATTCGAAGACAAAATGGTAATTAATCAGTGTTTTAGCGAATAAGAATCTTATTTTTTTTATTTTTAGATGTATTAGGAACAATTGACTACCTTGATCCAAGTGATGGGACTATTGTATTCCGTACTTGCCCTGAAGAGAAGGATAGAGTTGTGGTTCAACTGGGAACGAGTGATGCAGAGAGAGCTTTAAAAGTAGCCAAGATGATGTAAGAAAAAAATAATTACTAATTATTCAAGAAGTAATAATAAAAGTATTCTTTTAGAGAAAATGATGTAGCAGGCATAGATATCAACATGGGCTGTCCGAAAGAGTTTTCTCTCAAAGGTGGAATGGGTGCTGCACTAATGGCGCAACCAGAAAAAGCCAAACATATTCTCACAACACTTGTTCAAAATGTAAGCATTCCAATAAGTTGTAAAATAAGAGTTTTTGAGAACATTGACGATACTTTAAAGTTGGTAAAAGATTTAGCTGGGACTGGAATATCTGCCATAGCAGTTCATGGAAGAACAAAAATTGAAAGACCTCAGCATCCTAACCGAAATAAGACAATAAGTAAAATTGCAGAGGTTTTGGATATACCTGTGATAGCAAAGTGAGTAATACACATAGTTCATAGCTATTTTAAATATCTTATAGAATGCAGACAGTATAAAACTTCTTTAAAATGATATTAATGTTATAAATATATAAAGTAATTTTTTTTCTTCAGTGGGGGTTCTAGGGAAATAGAAAACTACAATGATATACTCAAATTTAGAGAGGAATGTGGTACTAGCAGTGTTATGGTGGCAAGGACGGCACAGTACAACTGTTCCATATTTAGAAAAGATGGTATGATAGCAATGGATGAGGTAATAGTTGAGTATTTAAAGAATTGCATTGATTATGACAATTCTCCCAGTAATACAAAATATTGTGTCCAAAATATGTTAAGGGAGTTACAGGAGACACCAAGAGGGAAGAAATTTTTGGAGTGTCAAACATTAGAACAAATTTGGTAAGTTGGGCTTTGTATTTTTCATACAGAATGTAATTTGTATTCTTTTAGTAATATTTGGAACTTAGGTGACTATTGCAGACAAAAATATCTAGATTACCAATCTCAAGGAATTTTTGGACGCAGAGAAATTGCCCCAGATACCTTGGATCCACAACGAAAGAAACGAAAAACAGAATTAGATGATGAAAATGTAGATGTTTGTTTAAATTGTGCGTTTATTAGAGTGAATTATACAGAAGATCCTCAGTTGCCTAAATCTAAATTGATAGCATATTGTGGGAAAAATAAATTCTCCAATCCTAAGTACAAGGTGTACAATGAGGACAAGTTATTTAGAGCTGTAGTATCTTTAAATGAAAAGAAGTATAGTTCAACATATTGGTAAGTTTAGATATACAATGTTTTATAGATGTTCTAAAGTAAAGTGTAGTTCCCATATTATACTGGTTAATTAATCAACTTGCTTTCTTTTTAAAAAGAACAATTAATTGGCTCTTCTCAATTATTACAATTTTAATTAATGTTTGGTATTTTCTACCAATTCTGACAAAAACTGACCAGTCCAGACCAACATTTGTGTTTACTTTATGTATTTATTTAGACACTTTACAAACACTATAGACTAATGGTAAAGCGTTTAAGACAAAAAAAAATACAATAAATTAATGAAACGAACATTAATATTACATTAAGAAAAAAATACAGTAAACCCCTTAAAGCTAGTGCTGATGAGCAAGCAATGTCTTAAGTTCACAGCTTTTTACATTAAATATATCCACATGAGTCAGTCTATTAAATACTTTATTCAGTGGCGGCTTTTGGGGGTAAGCAGGATAGGCTGTGCCTACCCAATAATTTTAACAGCTTTAAAATTGAAACACATATATTCAAAAATTATGTTAATGCATGTAAATAACTTTTAAATGTACTAAATCATTTAATACATCAGCATCCGTTAAAACAACTATGTTATTATATTACCACAGAAAGCATCAAATCGTATTCAGGCATTTTAAATATCATTAATAGGCCTGATTGGAAATGGCCGACCCAGCTCACATAAGATCCCCATACAAAAAGCGTTTGAAGTTAAGCGGCTTGCCCTACAACGATTTTTATTGTCATTTTTAAGATTGCTGTTTAGGCATCCGACAAAAAAATATGTAACATAATCGAGGGTAAAAGGGGTATAGGAAGAAAGAAGAAATCCTGGCTCCGAAACATCAGAGATTGGACTCACACATCAGGAAATGACTTAATCCATCAAGCCCAGAACAGAGAGAAATTTGCCATATTGATCGCCAACCTCAATAGAGAAGGCACTTAGGAGGAGGATGAGAACGCCATAAATACCTCCACATTTTTGCATGCATTCTTGATTGAAACAACCAATATTACTGAAAGGGCACTGTTCAATAGTATGCAGATTAGTGGATACAAAAGGCGCTGTTCAAGAATATTTCTTAGGTTTTTTTTATCTAGGGGAAGACCAAATTGCTCCAGCGTTACGTGACTTACTGTTTAGTGTAATTGGTAAATTTGACTGTAAAGCTAAATTAATTGCTCAAACCTACGATGGAGCTAGTGTACTTGTAGCTAGAGCACGAGAACACAGAGATTAGTTACTGTTGATTTGTCTCTTACAAAACCATGCTGGAATTTGCTGATTTTACTCTTAACATGATCATATTTATATATCATCATAAAGAATACTTTCAAAAATCTTAGCATACTATTTAACAGGCTGATAGGCCTGTAGTTTTGAATGTCATTTTTTTATCTTTTTTATGTATTGGAGAAATTGTTGCCACTTTTAAAATATCTGGAAAATATTCCTGTTCAATCGACATATTAAACAAAAATGCCAGAGGTTTAGCCAAGGGTTCGGCCATTCCCTTATAGATATAGGGTGGTATTTCATCAGGGCCTGTAGATTTTTTGGGTTTAAGTTTTTTAATACTATTTACAACATCTAATTCTGTGATATATTTAAAGGTAAAAGAACCCCACTCAGTACTTTGAGAATGACAATGTGTGCAGTCAGATGTATCATACACTGATGCAAAATATTTAGCAAAGGCACTCGCAATATCAAAAGGTGTATTAAACTTGGAGTTGTTTAATGTCATTTCTATGGGAATTCCACTATTCTTATATTTTGACTTAAAGAAAGTCCAGAATTTGTTTGGGTCAGCAAGTAGATGGTTTTCAAGTGAACATTTGTATAAGTTATGCTCATATTTGGTTTGGTTTTTAATATCAGTTCTTAAAAGCTGAAATTCAACACTCTTTGGGCTCCCTGAGGCTTTATTTAAACACAAACGATGCAGACTATTTTTCTTTTTAATTTTATGGATCAAATCTTGAGAGAACCAGTTTGGAAACCTGGAAGTAGAGTTGCTGGCCCTTTTTTTGGCTTTATGAATAGAACAACTTTAAAAAGGTGTACAGTTGACTGTAAAAAAACATTAAAAGCATTTGTAATATCCTTATATAAGAATAATGAGGACCAGTTAAACTGAAAATTAATGATAAAGATACCAGTAATTACCTTGAGCATAGTTGTATGTATATACCTTTTTGTTGCCTGGTATATCAGCTATTTCACTTACTCTGATACTGAAAATGAGAGTGGGGTGATACAAATCTTCAGCCACTAAAGGACAGTCGGACCTTGCCACAGTACAAATATCTATATTAGAGCAAAATCTAAAAATCTATTCATACAATTAGGAATATTATTTATTTATTGCAAGTTATTAATATTAAGAAACTGCTGCATCAGCACATTTTTATCACAATCCAAAAAGCTGTTATCATTAAAATGGGGTAAATTGAAATCTCCTAGTAACATCACATTTGAGTTTTTTGATAATAAAATATTCTCAACCAAATTAAAATAATTTTCATACATCACATCAGCTTTAGGTATAAAATACACAATGGAAACATAAAGGGTAAAGTTTTTTAAATTCATCTTAACTATTACACAATAACTATCACAGGTAACATTAACAAGTTCATAAGGTAGTTCATTTTTGATTGCTAAAAGTGCTCCTCCACCTTGCTTCCTATGGTCTGACCTATCTTTCCTAAACACTCTGTACCTATTGTCGAAAAGTGCAGAATCAAAAATCCCTTCATTCATCCATGTCTCAGTAAGGGCAATTATGTCATAGTTTTCAGTTAGAGCTTCAGCATATATTGTATTGGTTTTTGTTCTTAAACCACGTAAATTTTGATAGTATACTGACATCAGTTTCTTTGGTGTATTAATGTTTATATTACTTACTATTTGTGTTGATTGAGAGGGTCCGTTTATTTTTCTGTTGGCTCCCTCTTCTTCATAAAAAACCGGGAAACTACTGCACCACTAGGCCACACTTCTCTATTCCAAACCTTTCTGAAATTACCTTGGTTAACAGTGACCTTCATTGAGGAATAAATGTCTGGGTGTTTCGACTCAACAGTCTCGCAGGTCACTTCTGGAAACTTGTCTCTAAGGCTGTTTCTTAAGTCTTCGGGTTTAGTGTTAGGAGCCAATATTGTAACATGCAGAGATGCTGATTTAGGAACCGTCTGAATGTTGATAGATTCAGATTCATGTCCAACCACAAATCTCCTACGATGATTAGACTTGGGGCCCACATACACCCATTTATGAACATGAACAAAAATTGGTTGTTTATTTACAAATTTCAACAAAAATTGGATGCTTCCTTTCTGATTTCAATACGTTCATTCTTCCCAGAAGGTTAATTCAAAATTGTTTATTGTAAAATTTTATTTAGTTTAGTCCATTTCCATCATATTGATAGCACATTATGTATGCAAATCCCTAAACTGTTGATACGGGTGACTCAATGAAAAATAGATATTTGTCAACAAGTTTACAGAAGTATATAGGAAAACAATTTTAAATTAAGTATGACCACCAGGTATAAAGGTTGAAGCAGAATAGAATACAATAGTTTTGAGGGTTACTAATCCCTAAATAAAGTTGCCAGTGTCGGAGTGATGGAGATTAACAGGTACTAATGAATTTGCAAGAAATGTAAGATGTTTATTTTATTGGTTATATATAAAATAATTTGTGGCCGTAACAGGGGCCGATTTGTAAAAAAATGAATATTATTTTAATCAAATTCCATTTTAGATTCACTGCTTTCTTCAGAATCTAAGGAATCTTCAACTCCAATGTTAATTATTACCGGTTCCAGCATTGCATCAGTCATATTATCCAAATTCCGCATTTTATTTTCTTCCTTGTGAGCATGACTAAAAGCATTTTTCCAATTTTCTGGAGTTACTTTTGATAAGGAATGTTCTAATAATTGTTGTAAGTCTCTACTTGAGACCATATATTTTCTATCGGATTCAGATCACAGTGGTATAGGGGTAAACGTAAAATAATTACATCACGGTTTAATGCCATTTCATCAATTATATATTGCTGCTTTATGTTGCCTTACAATAGGTAATAATTCCTTTTTTGTCGAATTCTCCTTGTACTCAATTGCGTGTTTATCCAACCATTCGATTATCTCTCCTTTTTTCCATGCCGTTGTTGGCAATTTTTCTGCTAGTCTTGAATGGTAACTAGCATTATCCATGACTATGACAGAATTTTTTGGAATTAAATCCAACATTTGCTCAAAATATTCTTCAAAAACGTCAGCAGTCATTTCCTCGTGGTAATCTTTGGTTGATTTTGAGGCAAAACTTAATAATCCACCATTGACAAAACCGTATTCGTTTCCAATATGGGTTATTATGAGTCTGCGTCCTTTTCCAACGGGAATATTGTTTATTCCAGTAGATACACCTTCGATGAATGCCTGACGGGAACTTTTCACATTTGTATCAACCCATAGATATGGTACAGTATGACCTTCATTTAGCCAAGTCTCGTCCAAATAAAAAATTGTTTTCCCTTCTTCTCGGTACTTTTTAATAGTTCTTAGATAATCTCGTCTCCAACATACAATGTAATCTTTTTCAATTAAAACGGATTTTCTTCTATTCTTTTGCCAACGAAATCCCATCTCTCTCAATAGTCCCCATAATTTCTTGTTGCTTATGATTGGTAACTCTTCGTTTTCTCTAATTAATGTTTGGATTTTGTCCAATGTTGGAAATTCTTTGTTAAAAAAAATGAGTGGACGCTGCGTCTTATCATGTTTTTATGTATTTCTTCAATTTCCAAGGGTTTACTCCCTCCACTCTTCTTGGGAGATGAAACAGTTCCTCCTTTTCTTTCTTTTAGGAATCTATAAATTGTTGCTTCTCCAACCCCTGTCATATTTGAACACATGTTAACGATTTCACGAACATTACTTAAAGGGCGTTGATGTACAAGTGCATCGTGTACATTTAATATTATATTTTTCTCTCTTAGACTGAAGGCACCTTTAAAACTACACTTAACCGGGATAAAACCTGTTGTCGACGTCATTTTTAAATGCAAATAACAAAATATCGACACCAAAAACGTAGGTAGGTAAGACATGAACAATGTACATCTACAAACTAAATGGAAGATGCAAACAATTTCTAATTTATATTATTGGCATAAGCTGTAATGTGGCATAAAAACTACTTAAACTATCATTAGTGAAGCCTTATCAGTAATTCCAGGTAATCGTTCAAAGAAGGTATTCTTTTTGTGTCAGGCGATAACTTGTATAGAAAACAATAATCACCTTTAAATTACTGTTTACATTAATTTATTTCGTGAAACATTGAATTCTCTCGTTAATCACCCGTGTATAATTAACAATAATCGTGTGGCATATATACCGACGTTTTTTACGCACAAAAAAGGTATAGTGAGATTAGTGGACACTTATTTTACAGAAGATTTTTTAAAAGATAATGAATTGTTGACGGCATCTTAAAATATTAATTTTTTTTATTTATTTCAAAACAAGTATAGGGTGACGCCTATGGTTTTTTGACCTGTTGAGGATTTGCATACATAATGTGCTATCAATATGATGGAAAAGGATTATAGTTAGGTAATTCTTAATTATTTTGTTTCAGGGAGAAAAATAAAAAGTTTGCAGAACAAGGAGCTGCACTTGTAGCATGTGTAGCCTTAGAATTAATCGATAAAAATCAGCTAATAAAAGATGGAAGTATTTTAGAATAAATAAATTGTGTTTTATTTATTTAAGTTTTATAATTGAACAGACAAACAAAAGACCAAAATAGTGTCAATCAGGAATAAAACTCACCTTTAAAATAAATATAACAATTTTTATTTACATTTTAAATACATTTACAAAAACCTTAAAATTAATTTAATACTTTTTTTGTTTGTTACTTTGCATAACTTTTTCATACAAAGTCCACGAAATCGCCGCCACCAATGTGCGCCTCATCAGTCTAGGAACAATACCTTGAAAATACCCTAAGAAGCCATGTTTAACATAAACATGAATCATCACAGACCGTAAACTGTTGAATTTTTCTGGATGCAGCTGCAACTGTGTCTTAAAAACATCAGGTGGCTGGGTAACTAGTGATGCCAATGTGCTGGATATCACAGCGCAAGCAAAATTAACAGGTGATGTGTATGTGGAATAAATATCTGAAAAAAAAAGAGAAAAATTATTATTTTTTGTTTACTTAACACATATTTATAAGAAAATTAAAACAAAGATATCAAAAACAAATTAAACTCTTTTGAATGTCGTGTTTTTCGAAAAGAATCAATAATTGGCTATTTTCAGTATAATTTTAATAAAAAAATACTCCTATTACAAGAATTGTGACAAATATATAGTGTTTCATGGCCAATATTAAAAAAAGACTCTTTTATTGCCATTTTTTTTTATAAAAATTGACTTTCCTTACTAATTTCAACAAAAATTAGTTTTTCCTTAAGCAATTTCAACAAAAATTGGCGCTTCTCTTGCCAATTTTAACAAAAAATGGCAATTTCTTGACGCATTTCAATATTAACTTAAAATTAGTAATTAGGTGATATTTTGTGACAAAATCACCCTGATTTTGTAAATAATAAAGTGATTTTACATCAGGATTTATTGAATATATATTTTGCTAATCCAGAAAGTCTTTTCTACCAGAAAATCATTTATACTGAAGTGGAAAACGGCCAAATACAACATACGAAGCACTTTTATTTGTGTTAGCTTTTATAGCTATGAAGTATAGACAATTGATAACATCAAAAATTTTCTACATATTTGATGCTGCTGTACCAGAGCAAAAAGTAGTTTATTTGAATGATTCTTACGACTTTTTGGTCACAATTCGTGGACTTTTCATAGTCTTTTATAACCAATGAAATAAAGAATGAATCAAACAATTGACACAGGACCAATAATTGAATTTTTAAGACCAATTTTATAATAAGTTTACTTCTTTTGCACCAATTATGACAAAAATCAGCTATTTTCCGATCAGTATCAATAAAAATTTATACACTCCTTGTTAATTTCCACTAAAATTGGCTATACTCGTCGATTTTAACAAAAATGGGCCACTTTATTGTCAGCTTCTTCAGGTTTAGGTCAGGTTCTTCCTAGCATATTTCAACAAAAATAGGTTCTTTACCAATTTCAAGATTGATTCAAAGTTAGGATCCTCCGCTACCAAAAAGAAGCAAAAAAATTGGCTTCTCTTGTGATAATTTGTTGCAAAATCTACGGGAAACTGAGACATTTTTAAATTAAAACTAATAATTGGGTTGTTTCAGTTCAATTTTAATAATAATTTTGCCTCTTTCACACCAATTCTGACAAAAATCGGCTATTTTTTAACTAATATCACCAAAAATTACAATTTCATTGTAAATTTCAACAAAAATTGCTCTTCTCATTGATTTTAACACAAATGGAATCTTTTCTTGTAAATTTCAACAAAAAGTGGGTTCTTCCTAGCATATTTCAATAAAAATTGGCTCTACCAATTTCAAGATTAAAAAAAAATAGTACTTCGTCACTAAAAAGCGACAAAAGAATTTGGCTTCTTTTCAACATCCTGGTTTCTAAATAAAAACCAATAATTGGATCTTTTTAATCCAAATTTAATGACAATTTTACATCTTTTACAATAATGCTGATAAAAATCGGCTATTTTCTGACCAATATCAACAAACATTTACGTTTCATTGCTTATTTGAACAAACATTTGCTCTACTTGTCGATTTTAACCAAAATGGGCCATTCTCTTGTCAGTTTCAACAAAAAAATGTTCTTCATCGTATATGAAAAAAAAAAAATGATTCTTTGCCAATTTCAAGATTAATTTAAAATTGGGTCCTCTGATATCCAAAAGAGACAAGAGTTAATCTTGCGATAATTTGCAGCAAAGTCTCAGAGAAACATCCTAGTTTTTAGATAAAAACCAATCATTGGCTATTTTCAGTCCAAATTTAATAACAACTTTACCCCTTTTACACAAATTCTCACAAAATCGGCTATTTTCTGACCAATATCACCAAAAATTAAAATTTCATTATAGGTTTCAACAAAAATTAGTTTTAATAGTCGATTTTAACATAATTTGGTTCTTTTAACGTCAGTTTTAACAAAAATAAGGTTTTTCCCAGCGTATTTCAACAAAAATTGGCTATACCAATTTCAAGATTAGAGAAACCTGCTGGGTTTTAAATAAAAACCAATAATTGGGCTTTTTAAGTCCAAATTTAATAATAATATATGTAATAATAACTCGTTTCACGCCAATTCCGATGAAAATAGTATATTTTTTTACCAATATCACCAAAAATTACAATATAATTGTAAATTTCAACAAATATTGACTCTATTCGGCAATTTTAACAAAAATTTGCTTTTCCCTTGCCAGTTTAAATAAAGTAGGATTCTTCTTAGCATATTTCAACAAAAATTGATTCTTTGTCAACGTTCTCTCACGTAGATTTGCCGTAAAATCAAGAGAAATTTCCCGTTTGTTTTTTTAATAAAAACCAATAATTGGTTCCAAATTTAATAACAATTTTTTACTCCTTTCACACCAATTCTGACAAAAATCGGCTATTTTTAGGGAATATTGTTTTGAAGCTATTTTCTGTGGCATTTTAAAATAATTACTATTTAAATGGGAATAAGCCACAATTAAAGGTTAAAATAAGTTTATTGACGTTTCAATCTCCACTTCCAAAATCATTCTCAAAATACTAACATTTTGTGGCTTATTCCTATTAAAATAGTAATTATCTTTTTGGCAAAGCAGGAAACGACATTTTCTCATAAACTGATTAATATAATGTTAATTTTAGTGTCTTACCTTTTGGTATGAGTGATTTTGATTGATTGTAAAACATGAAATAGATTCCGGCGTAGGGGGCGTCCCGGAAAATGGTCGGCACCAGTCCCCTCGTTAAACCTTTAATACCTTCGTGGTGAAATATATCTTGTAGTGCTACCATAACGCCGCTGTATTGGTACACTCCGCTCTCGATTCTGAAAATAATACAAACAACTGTATCAAACAACCGTTGGAAGCGAATGACGATGTGAGTTTAATTTTTTTTACATTGTTCAATACATACCTCGTTTTGACAACTGTCATCGGCATTAGAGTGGCTCCGGCCATACCTCTTGCAATAATACCTATCAGTATCGATTCTGAGGCTGTGGGAGCCTTCTTCTTGAAGAAATGGGTCTTTACGTATTCTAAACAGCAGAAATACAATCCTATTCCCGGCACTGCTCTCAATAATGCCTGAAAATAATTAATAAAGATCCAATTAATGATCAAATTGCTACACCATTACATACAATATTATGAAGTAGGTATGTTAAAAGTGGGATTGAGCAACTTAGAGATATGAGCAGAATGATACACTGTTTGGAATGATAGTATCGTTCTGAATGCGTCATTTATGCTGATCTGGTCACTTTGATTTGTTTTTAAGTATATGTGACTATGAGCGTAACTTAATTAGTGTAAAGTTTACAGAATGATTGCATTGAAATTCTCGAAAAACATGTCCGAATAAGATACAGTCTGGAGTTCGCACGTTTATAAACAGAGATAATATGGTCGGAACAAGTTAGGCTGCTATTTTCCGTATTTAAGGTGTAGTAAACCACTGAGAACACCAAGTTAAAATAGAGTCCAAGTCCATTTGGAGGGTTGCTGGTTTGTGATTGGATTGGCATATATTTTTGTGTCATCAGCGTAGAACGATATTTTACTTAAACATAATAAGGAACATTGCTGGTATAAACCGTAAAAAGCAGAGGTCCAAGGACAGAACCCTGAGGCACTCCACTTTCCACTAACCTGTCCTGTGAGAAAGATTCGCCAACTCTAACTTTGTAATGTCGATCTGTCAGGAAATCATCTATCCAACGAAGTAAAGTACCGCGAACTCCGAAATGTTCTAGCTTATGTAGAAGTCTGCGCTTAGGTACACGGTCAAAGTCTTTAGAGAAATCTAGATAAACAACGTCGACCTGCTGCGAACTGTTAAGTGATGACGTCCAGTCTTTAACACAATGTAGGAGATTGGTTAGAGTAGAGCGACCAGAGACAAATCCATGTTGTTGTGTTGGAATAACATGTTGCTGGAGAAGGAATTTGGTCATCTCCTCGGAAATAATCGCTTCTATGATTTTGCCAACTACTGGCAGCAAGCTAATCGGACGATAATTATTGTTGGGATCGAGTTTGTTGCCTTTTTTAAAAATAGGGGTGATGGATGCTAATTTCCAACTAAGGGGTAAGGAGTTCTGGATGAAAGAAGTTTGCATAAATGGTGAAGTTTAGTTGTCAAAACATTTATTTATTATTAAAAACAATTGAAACCATAGTTATTGAAACTTGAAGTAAAATTTTACTTTAAGCGCCAGCAAGCAGCGTTACTACATTGTCATTCTTGACAATGGCAAGTGCGACCTTGTCGAAACGTCATAAAAAATTGTTTTTTACTCAAACCCAAAATATTTCAACGCGGAATCAAACCCGGAAAACCACTGAAACCACATATAGCTCCCGTGGAAATTTTAAGTGTAACATATCGACTGAATTGATATTTTTTTATACTTAATTATCACAAATTTGGTTGTCTTGTATTCCACAATCCTTTTCTGTGTAAGGACTGTAACACAGTATCTTGAAAATGTTGGTATTCCAAAAATGGACTGGCCTGCTCAAAGTTCAGACCTTAATCCTATTGAGTATATATGGAACCCTCTCAAATGGCGTGTAAGAAGTGGTATACCTGCTCTAGCAACATGTGAAGAACTTCAAATGGCTCTTAATGAGTAATGGACCACTTTTCACCAACATCCAAAACGTGATCCAAACTATACCAAATCGAATGATTAGTGTCATCCAGAATTGTGTTGACAACACTCATTATCGAATCTTTTCTTGACTCTTATAATTCAATTATTGTTATAACTTAATTGATTAATTTCTTAAACTTTGTGGGTGGCCCGTTTTCTCTGACGCGTAGTGTAAGAAGGAAGATATTTCCAATTTTAGTTCGCAGTAAGTCGAAGTTTCTAATTTTGTGACACACTGTATACGGGTTGCTGGTAATTGTTCAATTCAAAATTCAAATTTTTATCAAGAACACATGTAAATTTATCAGAAAAAGAACTAAAAAAGTTTATACAGATACCAATGTTATCATAATCGACTGACCTTTTGGTTTTATCGTTGGTCGTATAGCTAGTATCTTTATATTTTTTTAATGTAGTAAGATAATCACAAAAATAAAAGAAAAATAGGAAGATATTGCTACCGTCCAAACTACAACACGAAAGTAGGTACTGATAAATTGCATTTGAGAGTAGGATGGCATCAGGACTCAGCGAGTACTTATTTCAATAACAGGCTGATTCCGTGATTTGCATTGAGATTTAGTTGTGATGATGAGTCTTGATTAATATTGTAAACCGGGGAAATCAGCTCACACAGTCTAAGGAAAAACTAGAAAATTTCTAACCACAATCTAACTATGTTCGAAGCTATTCCTGAGCCGAGCAATTATATTAGTCGAAATCCAGAACTAATGCATCTAAGTCCCAATTACATTTTCATATACAGTGTGAGTTAAGTATAGAATGTCTCAATTATATTTGAAACGGTATTCACGATTGTAGACGAAATGACAGGAAGATATATTTCCAAAGTCTATACCGCAAAACAATGTATCATTACAAACCATAGACCCAAGAAACTCTTCTCCGGAAAATAATGGTACGGCTTAAGATAGAAATATGTGGAAAGGAAATGTGTTGTCTAATATTTTGAATAAAGCAATTGTACTTACCGGTGTGGTGCCCTTCCATAGTCCTCCTATCTGCTCGTGTTTTATTACATTAGAAACTATAGGTATGATTTGTAGTCCATTTGGCTGACTGAAACAAAAGGAAATTGCAATTAATATACATAATCCTAAACAATTTCGCCACCAGCGTATTTACCGGAGGTTGCCAGATATTTATATTCTCATTACAGTCCTATATAGGAAATTTACTTGAATATGTACCTAAATATCTGTCTCATTCGTATCGCTCTATGGAATTCTCACATATTAACCAATCACAAAACAGTAGTAATCGATTTCTTGCAAATTAACAAGATTTAGGTCATGCTCATCTCTGAAACATACTTCACTAACTATTTGGTATTGCAAATCACCCAGATGGAACAGCTCATGATGGAGCTGCAGTTATTATAAAAATCATAATATCACACCACGCAATTTCATACCAATCTAACAAATTTTAAACAACAAGAAATGTTCCGGCCGACCTTAAGCCGACCCTGCGCTTTTTACCAACAATCTTCGCAGCAAACGAGTGCTTTCACCATGGACAGGAGAGAGAAGACCCCAAAATCAACTGTATGTACAAACAACAATATAAACAACTGTTTAATGCAATGAGAAACATGTATTTGGCTGGAGGAAACTGCAAAGCCAAGCATAAAAATTGGGGGTCTAGAAACATACCACAGGACATCACAAGGTAAAACACAGAAAACTTTCTGAACACAGATAAAGTTGTGTGCTGCTAAGTTCAAGACATGTTCGAACTGAGTCACTACATCTTCTGGTTACTTTATGTTGAGGAATGTTCATATTCACCATTGCATGTTCATAATTTATTCTTAATATAAATGCTCAATCAAGACCATTTACTGCAGCTGCCACCTACAGTCCACCTATAAATCAGTATAGAAGAATATGAACAACTGTTTCACTCAATAGGAAACAGATTTTTGGCTGGAGGAAAGTGGAAAGCCAAGCATAAAAATTGGGGGCCCAGAAATATAACCACAGGACATCACAAGGAAAAACACAGAAAAGTTGTGTGCTGCTGAGTTCAGAACATATTGAGTCACTACATCTTCTGGTTACTTTATGTTGAGGGAAAGTTCATATTTACCATTGCATATGTTCATAATTTATTCTTAATTTTTTGTATATTCTATAAATTATCAGCTATTTTCGTGTTGTCATCAGCAAATTTAATGTTGTTGATTAAAACCCATTCAATTGTATCCCCTTTGTATTTGATTCCAGAGTAATTCTCAAGAGTAAGCATTAATTCTTCTTCTTTTTGATATACCTATCCGTTCGAATGTTGGCGATCATCATGGCAATCTTTATCTTATCTGCAGCAGCGCGGAAAAGCTGCACAGATGTTGTATTGAACCAGATTCTGAGGTTCTTTAACCAAGATGTTCTTCTTCTTCCTGGACCTCGTTTTCCAAATATTTTTCCTTGCAGGATGGCTTGAAGGAGAGCATATCTGGATTCATATCCCATGGACTGACTCGGTCATTCAACGGGATCTTAAGTATTCTCCGACATAGCCACATCTCAAATACTTCCAGTTTTCTGCACATATCTTCGTTCAAGGTCCACGATTCAACACCATAAAAAAGGACAGAGAAGACGTAACATCGCAGCATTCTTACTTTTGTATCAAGAGAGAGGTTGTAACTCTTGAAGAAGACCCCCATCCTATTGAAGGTGGATCTAGCTTTTCCGATGCGTACTCTAATCTCCTGGGTGTTAGTCCTGGTAGTGCGTCACTCTTTCTACAGGAGATTGGTTGACATATAGTTGACCTTCTGCATATACTATGGACTACTACGGTGTCATCTGCATATATGATGTTGTTTAGCGGGTAACCATTTAGTAAAATACATTTTTCAGTTTCATGCAAAGCTTCGATTATTCTTTCAGTACAGAGTACATATTGAAGATTAAAGGAAACAAAATACAGCCTTGCCTCACTCCACGCATGATTTTCACATAGTCAGTGGGTTCACCTTCAACTGGCTGTCTGATTCCAGTAAATATTTCTAATTATTTGCAGACCTTGGTTGTTAATTCCTGCTTCTTTTAATATTTGCATCATCTTGCATGCGTATACGTCGCAGTTGACATCTCTGCATCTCTGGAATAAGACTTGTACTGAGAACAAAACCTCTCTAGTTCAACAGCATTTGTGAACCCGAACTGGTTGGGGGAAACTTGACTTTCACACAGCTTGTAGATTCTCTTATGAATTATCTTTAGGAACAATTTTAGGAGATGACTCATGAGGCTTATAGTAATAATAAACTGCAGATTTCAGCCATTCTGTTGGTATTTCTCCAGAGTTGTATATGTTGTTGAATATCTTTGCGATTATTGCTATTCGTTGTCCATTAGTTTGAGTAGTTCTGCTTGTATATTATCAGGGCCTGCCGCTTTGCCATCCTTTAACTGTGTTATTGCGGAATAAACTTCCTGCTGTAATATTCTTGGTCCATCATTTACCTCTTCTTCTAGCTCAAAGGTGTTATCTCTTTGGTCTTCAAATAGTTTTTCTAGATATTCTTTCCACGTTCTTATTTTACTCTGTTTGTCCAAGATAATGTTTCCGTCAGAATCAGTTATATTTCCTTTCTGCCTTCGTCTTAGTCCCTTGCTTAATAAGCTAATGCTTATTAAGCATTAATAGGAGTGACAATATACATCCTTGTCTGATTCACTCATTATTTCCACTTCTTCAGATATTTCATCCCAATTTTTGTTCTGTTTCCATAAAAATGTTTCCCTCTCTGTTTGGCAGTATGTTTGAGCAAACATGAATATATATTACAGAGTTGTTTTCCAAAATTTTCATAAAAAACAGAAGTACAAAGTGATTTATAAAACCTAAGTAAATTTCAATATGTTACAGAACAAATATAGAAGATAACATATACAAATAAAGTCCAAACAATGTTTATATTACCTGTGTATATTGAATAAATTATTTAAATAACAAGCAAGTTCAATGACAATAGATCATATAAAAGTTAAACAAAAGTTACAAAAAAGAGCAATCAGAACTCTACTTAACTTGAAATACAGAGATTCATGTAGAGGTAATTTCAAAAAGCTAAACATACTAACAATGGCTGGAACATACATATATGAATGCTTACTTTTCATTTTTAAAAATAGACATAAATTCTTGAAACACATAACAAACCATAATACTAATACACGAAACAATCTCATAAACTATAATATACCAATACATAGACTAACAGCATCTGAGAAAACCACAGAATATGCCTGTATTAAATTCTTTAATAAACTGCCTTACAGCATCAAAATAGAAACTGACATAAATAAATATAGAAAGTCTGTTCAACAATTGCTCATACACCTTGAACCATACAAAGTGGAAGAATACCTTCAAGCTGACCTGCAGGGAGACTGAGGGCTCTTACCTGAATCTAAATGTCACTGTTATTATCATTATATTTTAATATTACTTTTATGTTAAGTGTAGGTTGTTACAGCAACCATTATAAATTGTAATTGACACCATTCTCTCTATTGACAATTTATATTTGTGTGTAACTTGTGAATCCTGAGAATAAAGCTTTTTTCTATTCTATTCTAATACTAAACATTCTCAAAATATACAACTGTCTTTTAGAGAATTGAATTTCCAAGCTCTCAGTTAACTGCTTCCTCTTATGTATTATCTGATGTGTTTTTTGTCTAATAATAGTGTTTGTTAAGTTTTCATTAAGACATTTTACTAATGAAAATCTTTATACATGTTCAAATCTTCATATTTTGTGGTCATAACACAATAGGGGGTCTCTGTTATCTATAAGAGTCTATATAGATTATTGCAACATTGAATTACCTAACAACATGACCCGTTTATCTCTGCATATTAACAATGTATAAATATCAGTCTAATAAATAAGATTTTTGAACTGTTGCTAACCAACTGTTAAAAATATGATCTGTTATCACATATTGTTAATTCTCTCCAAATAACAACCAAAAGTAAATGTCTAAAAATAGTTTAACAGTTTTATATGTAATAATTGATATAAATAACACTATCTTTATTAAATCTCATTCTTCGATTTATTATCTATGAAGATATTTTGTCAAATGTTCGTCTTGCACCATCTTTTGTTTTCTATAAGTACTTTTTTCTCATATTAATTGGTTGTCAATAACTACTTGTGACCTCTTTATTAGTGTGAGTAATTCTTTAGATGTATCTGGGTATAATATGTTCAGTAAATGTCAAAATTCTAATCGTTTGCATCAAAAGAACCTCATCAACGATAAATCCAAAATGTTTTTTAGATTAATGAGACATAAGGATATCAGAAATAAATTAAAAATTAAATAAAAGTAAAATTTACTTACTTTCTAAGTGCAGCTGGAGGATTTTGGAGGCGGGTCTTTACAACATCTAAAGGTTGCAATAAAACTGTGCTGATGACACCTGAACATGATCCAGACAGGAAGGCTTTTATCACAGGGTTCTGTAAAAATATATATTACTACATAAGTATCAAAATATTACATTTACTGTTGAACTGTTAGAACTAGAAAGTTTCCGACATCAGTCAATTGTTTAAATTAATCCAATAAGTTTTGTTAATATGGATCTATTAAAATTGTATTGTGTAAAACTGAGTGGAATAAAATACTAAAAAAGAACATTATGTAGGCTTCAGAGTTTGTAGTGATGGTTCATATAACAAAATAATGTAATAATAGTCATGGTTGCCTCAACAATAATATAAAATCAAAAGCGTTTAACTACAGGTTTAATAAACAATCAATATGATGATTATTTTGAAGCTCAATACATAATTTGAGATTGGACTAATCTAGATATTTATCTTGAGTATGTTAACAAAAAATAATCTTGAATTTGGGCATTTACTCGTCTAGATATTGGAACTATATTTCATATTATTCTAGGCTATGATAACTATCTGATAAGAAAGCCCACAATGACTTATTTATAGCTATGACTTATTTATAGTTAAATAGTAAATATATTTACTTACCTCTAAGAGTCTAACCTGAATGTTGTTATGGTAGTTATTTTGGCAAACACCGCTGTCCCGAAAAGTCGATTGATACGACACCGCCATAGAAACAAAAACGAAGTAATACTGGAATATTCTACAGCTGAATACAGCACATTATATGTATATTATCCTGTAAAGTAATTAGCCGGAATTAGTCTCAAAAAAATTAATAAAACAATATCACGAAATTCGTTTTTTAGGAATGTACTTACTTGGTTAATTATTCTTGACATTGACATTAAATTTACACTATTTATAACTCAACTCAACTTCAACCTTTGGTTTTGTAATAAATTAAAACGTATTACGTAATCTGATCGGATGATTTTTTTGTGGTTATGCGCAACAAAACAAACGAACTGATACGAGATACGATACGATGCGATGCTTCTATTTTCTTTGACGATACGCACAACTTGCCGCTTTAAAATAAACTAATTCGATTGTTGCAATGGACGTAATTAAATATTGAATTGAATATCTACCCCACGCGAACTTCCAGTCGCAGCTTATCAAAAATATAATATAAACAAAAGATATAGTGGTAAAAATAAACTTTAGTACAGCGGTTTAAGTTTAATACTTCGCTCAACTTTTTTGTTCAAGGTTTTATTAAAGATTTTCAACACTTTATTTATAAAAAAAGCTCTTATACAAAAAGTTATACGCTAAAATTCGATTTAACAGAAGGTAACTTGGCAAACGAAAAGGAATTAGGGTAAATGCGTATAAGAGTACGCACTTAATATTAAAAGTGCGACATTTTTTTATTTTTACGAAAATGGACTATTTATCATTCCTCACATTGTTAATAAACCATTTAAAAAGATGTTTTAGAATAGTTTTAAACCATGTTTGTATTCAAATAAGAAATATTTAATTTTGTTTGCGAAGCTGCTAATGCGTACTCTTATACACAAATTTGCATAAGGAGTACGCATCTATATTTTTAAGAGTACGCACATTACTGAAGTGTACAAAAATATTAAGACATTCCAAAAATCAAACTTTATTTCTAAAATAAACGCAACACAAATACATAAAAAAGAAATATGAAAAGTATGTTTTAGAACTCATTTTTATTTCATCTTTAAATCCATTGCTACTCCTCACAGTTAAAACACATGAAGTCTCCTGTTACGTAAGTCGTACAAGATTTGTGCCACCAATTCTTGCATTGAAAGCACATGATCCAGTCTTCAACAGAATTTGAATATAATTCATTACATCCTGGGCACGTTACATCAGGATCATTTTCTTTATTCCCTTTTTGAACTTTGCGCAATGATTTACTACAACTAGGCACTAATTTTCTTTTTATTCGTTCCGTCTTCTTTTTTGTTCTACTTCTTTGGTTTTTTCCAAATTCTCAAGTTCTTTTGTATATGGGCTACTGGAAAGTATTTCGGACTTTTGAGATTTTGTTTTGCGTCGATTAGGCTTTTCTTTAATTTTGGGTAATGGTAAAATCTCTGCCGCTGACACTGACATGTGTCAAAGGAGAAAAGGAGAAAATTGATATATGGGAAAATTATATCCAGGAGCTCTTCCATGACGAAAGACCCATGAGTGAAGTTTATACAGACGACCAGCTGACTGGCCCTTCAATCACCAAAGAGGAGATAGAAAAAGCAATATTAAATTCAAAAAACAATAAGGCACCTGGACCAGATGAGATCCCGTCAGAAATACTCAAATTACTAGATGAAAGGGGAATTTCAGCACTACACAAAATATTTAATTTAATTTATGAAACTGGCTGCTATCCTCAACAGTGGTTACGCTCTACCTTTATTCCCCTGCCCAAGAAAGTCAATGCAAAAAGATGTGAGGATCACAGACTCATTAGCCTGATTGTAACGAGTGCGTTACTTAAATAACCGTTTACCTTTTTTGTGACTGGAGTCTTTTAATTTAACTTTAATTTAAATTCATATTTGAAATATTCTTAAACTGAATATTTAAATAACTCCCAGCAAATTTTACTTTCTAAGGTTGGCATTAAATCCCGACCTCTGGTGTAAGATTCTGAAAGTACGTCGACTTGACGACTTGTAAGTGTTAATAGAATTACTTGTTGACTGGGTGTGATCGAAGACAGATCGATCGATCATAGTGGCGGCTGGGAGGTGCCATTTTTAAGAAATTTAGTTTAAGTTTATTTTTTTTTATGAAGAACCGCTGATTTAAGGACAACAATTTAAGTTATTTTTGGGTGTTTTGTACGAGGATACTTTAAGTTTTGGACCACCTCAGCCGCCAACTTCCGGAACCCAGTCACAAGTCAGGGAAGAAACCTTTAGTTTTGGGGTTATATTTATTAAGGAGAAGGGGAAGAAATTTTAAGTTATATGGGGATTTAAAGAAGATTTTTTTATATATACATGGAACCCAGGTTTGGTGTACTTTTACCCACTGGAGTCTAGTTCTTCACCGGATCATCTTCCAGGGCAACCTACGGAAACCGGCAGGAAGAACTTATTTTGTTTTTGTTTGTCATTCCAATATTTTTTATAACTTTTTTCAACATCCTCTTCAAGGTTTTAACTTTTGTTTCATTTTAATTTCAATACATATCATTAATAATAATTACATTCACTTTTTCATAAAATATTAATCATTGTAACTTAATTTAATTATTTATTGTCTACCAAGGGATGAGGTTTTAACTCTCCCTTGAATCTCTCTTTGTCAGGTTATTGTGTGCACAAATATCCGGAGAGTTTCATTTCATTTGAAAATTTAGACATTTACTTAACGAAAACTAATTATATTAGTGAGTAGTATTTTTATTTATATTATTATTATTCTTTTATATTATATACTTAACTATTGCATAACCTTAGTCAAAATTTAACATTATAGAGTACATTAGGGGGGAAATTGTTTTCATCATTATATTCAGGGTTTTCATTGTAAATATAGATTAGTTAATTGTATATAAGAGGTGTTGGGTTATATTGTTATATATAGGGTTTAAAATAATTTGTACATAATATAGGTATTTATTAAAGTTGGGTTAAAACAATTTAAGATTTCACTTGGTACCTATCCTTTAATATTTCAGCAATACAAGATATCTCGGAAGAAAACCATTCAACTTCCTGGCGCCCAAACATTCAGTAGAGCAACTTTATCTTTCTTCTGTTTATTTCTTGGTAATTTCTAGTCATTAATTCTTACATCTTACGGTCTCTGTAGGGCATGCAAATTGGCCGAATTCTCCTTTGAGTGTCAAGTAGTCGCTCTCCGGCACCTTCTGCTAGCCAGCTTAAATTATATGTTATCATTTCCATTATCCTACACGTTTTGTTACATTGGCGTACCACAGCACAAAGCATTTTTGTTACATGATGAATCACACTTTAAAGATATTCTTAAAAATACTACATCAAAGATTATACAAAAAATGTGAATGGGACATCAGTGATTCCCAGTTCGGGTTTAGGCAAGGTTTAGGAACACGAGAAGCAATAGTAGCAACACAGGTACTGGTCCAAAATTGTTACGATCAGAGGAAGGATGTGTTCCTATGCTTTTTAGATTACAAAAAAGCGTTTGATCGTGTCCAACACCATAAGTTAATGCAGATTCTCAAGAAAGTTGATATAGACCAAAAAGACATAAGATGCATTGAAAACTTGTACTGGCATCAAACGGCACAGCTAAAAATAGACAATTCTATATCTAAGCCCATACATATAAGAAGAGGCGTTCGACAGGGATGTGTGCTTTCCCCTCTTTTATTTAACATTTATTCAGAAGCCATATTTCAAGAGTCTTTGGAGGATGCAGAGATGGGAATCAAGGTGAATGGAGTATTGATCAACAACATACGATATGCTGATGATGGTGTCTTAATTTGTGACAACATAGTCGATCTTCAACAACTTGTCACTATAATCGGAGAATACAGTGAGCGAATGGGACTAGAGATTAATACCAAAAAGACCAAATTCATGATCATCTCCAGAAACTTGGATGCATTTGAAAACTCCACCATAACACTGAATAGTAAATCCATAGAAAGAGTGAGTAAATTTAAATACCTGGGATCGTGGCTTTTTGAAGACTGGGCATCGGACAGGGAAGTAAAATGTCGCATTGAGCAAGCTCGACAAGCTTTCGTAAAATTCAAGAAGGTACTGACTTGTTCTGAGTTCGATCTTCAACTGAGACTAAGGTTTACTAAGTGCTACGTATGGTCAGTGCTGCTATATGGCGTAGAGGGCTGGACACTCAAAACGAGGGATATAAACAGATTGGAAGCTTTCGAAATGTGGCTTTATCGCCGTATCCTAAAAATACCATGGACAGCGAAAATCACAAATATAGATGTCCTTAAAAGAATAAACCAAGAACGCCAACTTTTCGAAACCATCAAGAAAAGGAAAACGGCGTATCTAGGTCACATCATGCGAAATGAAAAATACCAGTTCCTCCAACTTATAATCGAGGGTAAAATTGAAGGCAAGAGAGGAATGGGACGCAAGAAAATGTCCTGGCTCCGAAACATAAGGCAATGGACAGGGATTAACGACATACAATCTCTGATACATATTGCAAGAAATAGAGAGTTAATGGAAAATGTGATCGCTAACATCCATTAGTGGATTTGCATCTGAAGAAGAAGAGACACTGACATATTTAAGCTATTAGTGCTAGCTTGTCATGGTATTAATACACCACCTTCGCATTCGATATCAAGATTAGCCACATCTAGAGGCGGTGTAACGTGAAAAGAGATTAGATCATTTTCATTCTCAGGCTGCTTTGAAGGAGGTAATTACTTCAGATGGTATTGGAAGCTGAAGTCCATCATTTTCTTCTTCTACACGGACTCTATTTAAAGTATTATCTACTACCGCGCTTACTGGATTGTCCAAAGGTACGTCGATAACATAGGAGGGAGTAAAATCCATATCATGAAACTGATCAGGATTAAACGGATATATTCTCGATGCTTTAAAATAATTTTCAGCCTTCTGAATATTTGCTACAGAACCATAAGCAGTACTAAATAATCCAGCAACTTGAAATTGTGTAATTACTTTACCTGGATTACTTACCATCCATTTGTCACATTTCCTACTGTAGGTTTTTTAAAGGACCAAAAAAACCAATATCCAGTGGCTGTAGTTTATGGCTTGAATGAGGCAGTAGAGATAAAAGATCAATGTGATTCTCTCGGCAATATTTTATAGCTTGCAGGTCACGATGAGAGCTGTGATTGTCGAGAATTAAAAGAACTTTGT